CTAGCCCAGATACATAGACTATCATACAGTGAAAATCTGTTGATTCCACTTTCTTCAGTCTGAGCCCATACTTTTGGTTGTTTGGAATCGGTGAATGCAGCTTGCAGTGGCATGCTATTTTCCCCCACAAGGCCAGCCTAAATGTCCGACTTGAAATCATCCTAGAAGGGAATGCAGTCACCAGACTGGGCGGTTCATTTCACTTGACTTCCTGTTTCCCCCTTGGAAGGATCACGCAAGAACAGGTCCCAATTCCCAAGGTTAGGTGCGCAAGCTCTCTGGGAATCCGAAAGTGTTCCAGTGAGCATCGCAGATGCGAAGAAGAAGATGATTCAGTAGACAGTGGGTGTTGGATTTCTTGAAAAGGAAATCCAGGAAATGAATGAAACTTGAACTTTAGAATGTTCTCTGGGGGTTGATATTAAGCAGTGCTTATGTGCATACAATCAGAGGATACAATGTCAGTATTCAGGGGAACCTGACAATAAATTTAGTTCCCTCATCATTTGTCATGGTCAGTCACCTGCTAAACATCCATTCTAAGAATTTATCTCATAATCTTTTATGTACGTTTTGACAAGAGTCACTTCTATTTATATGTCTTATATGATAATGTGAAAAGGGAGAACTGATCGATGAATGTCTTTGAATGTTCTGTGTGTGTCAGTATGCACCATGTGCAGATGAGGAACAATCATAATTCTTGATGATTTTGTCTAACCCCGAAAAATGTTACCCGGTGTTAATGTATTTGTGGTTAATATTGAGCTTTGTTAAATGACTTTTGCACACAGTCTCTATTCTTATTAAAAGCATGGAATACCTCAAAGCTATCCTGAGTACAAGACATTTTTATGTCATATAAGTTTTTGTTAATTATTTTTTAAGATGAAGTGAAACTCTAAATGCTGTGCCATGGATGCAGCCCACGAGTAGAGCAGATGCTTTGTAACAGCATAAGAAAATACTGGTAATAAAACTCATCTGGCGTGGATAAGCTGTGTTATTATCGCACAGAGCAAAGTGAAACCCATTTACTGATTGATTTTTAGTGAATACCAATGCATTCTTGTGAAACTGTACATAATACATGCTCAATTCTGAGCATTCCGCAAACTAACATACTTCCATCAAGTTTTACTGCGCACAGCAGTCCACAGCTCTAGTAGTGTAACTGAGTAGCAATCCGTCTTCTCTATTGGCAGATTGCTGAATGGCAGTCCAACTACAAAGAAGAGAGAACATCTCGGCACATCACCGAGCCCTCCAGGAGCTACCGGAAGTTTGTCAACCGACTGGTGGTCCAGAATTCCACGGAGCACGATAGCGGCATGTACGTCTGCACAGCACAGAAGAACCTGGAGAGCATCTCCTCGGAGATCCGCATCAATACAATTCGTAAGTTTGGCATCGTGCGGAGACTTCAGAATGGGTGTTGCGAGATAAAGGACGTCAATGTTGCAATAGGAGATATGTTACCAATTTCCTGCAAGTTTCCTTTCTACGTCTCTCATACTTTTGATTCACAGTATGCTGTTTGTTTTATTTAACAGCCGGTGCTCAACTCAAAGAGATGGGCCCACCCCACCTCCAGGACACGCCCACCCGCCTGACCATCATTGACGGGGAGACCCTGGAGCTCACCTGCACGGGGGCCTACACCTTAGAGTGGGACTACCCCCAGAGCATCCAATCTCACGTCATGCTGTCGTCCAGGGCCTGCCCGGTCTGCCCACCCCAGGCCCGGCACACCAGCATCCTCCGCGTGGAGAATATCGGGTACAGCGATTCGGGGAGCTACCGGTGCATCTACAGCCGGTACACAAAACACATCAACAGCGGCACGGCTACACATGCAGTCATTGTGGTCACCAGTAATGGTGAGAAGGCCAATCTGAGACATGTCAGTGACCTGTAATTTCAGTGCAGTGCAAACTGATTAAAGACTTTCACTTTTTTTTCTAAAGCCCTGCAGTGTGGGCAAGTAATACCACGACGAAAGAAAGCTCTTTGACTCCATTAAACAGAAACTTCCCTGGCAAAATGCCAATGTTTCAGTCATGTTTCAAACACCTGCCTCCTCTTTTCCTTCAGACACTAGTGTGCATCAAGTTGGTCCCCCAGTCATCCACGTGGATGGCCCGGACCTGCTAACCAACGAAAATGCCTCCGTCGAAATAACTTGCACCGGCGCCTACACCCTGGAGTGGCTTTATCCCTCCTCCGCAACCCACAAGGTCACCCCGACTTCCACGGCCTGCCCAACCTGTCCCCCGGCTTTGCGTCACCGGAGCATCCTTAGAATCGACAGGTTGACCTACATGGACACCAATGCCTACAAGTGTGTGTACAGCCGCTTCTCGGAAAACATCAACATCAATACATCGGCAGAAGTGTACATCTTTGTGCGGAGCAATGGTAAGTGGTTCATATCCGCACATCAGGTCTCTCTGTTTATGTACAGTGTGTAGAATAGTGCATGTATTATTAGGTTCACAGTGGGAAATATACCGCCACGTACGCCGTTGCTCTTTCCTGGGTCTCTCTCTGTTAATCAGAAGTTGAATTGAGTGATGCCTCGTAGTTTCTCTGTCTATGGAGGTAGTAATAGCTTATCCAGGTCTTTGATGGGAGGGGGACAACTTACCCCCACTGCCCCAGTGGATATGCCACAGGGAGGGAAGCTAGTGGGAGACAGTATGAATGGAAGTCTTACACACACACACACAAAGACTGTACATTACAATCAAAGTTGGTCAATTGTGCTTGGTACATTCTTTTCCATAAACTCCTTGTGCTCACACAGTGTTGTCCCCACGAAAGGAGCGCTGTTGCCATGTAAAAGTAAGCAGCTCTCGTTCTTGCAAAGAGCGGATGAGGTTTGTGCTGAAGTCTCCAGTGTTTGTTTGTTTTTTTCCTCTGACAGATCCGTCCAACCTTTTCCTGCGCAAGCCAGACACCTCGTTTCACCACCTCATCATCTACGAGGACGAGCCCTTCGTCATCCCCTGTCGGGTCAGCAATCCGGATGCCCCTGTCAAGCTGATGCAGGACCAGACGGAGTTGGGCAGGATGGTGGGGGTCGTCTACGACCCCAAGGTGGGCTTCAAGGTCAGGTCTGGCCAGTGGAACGGCATGCTGGCCTGCACGGCCTACCACGGGGTCAACTACACCCAGCAGTTTTTCCTCACACATTTTGAAGGTGAGTCAAATCTTTTGAAGACTGTGTGACTTGGTCAGAGAAACTGAGGCTGAACAAAAAGGAAACCTAAGCTATTACATAATTGTAGATATCCTAGACTATTGTAGATAAATAGATCAACCACAAATGTACAAATCCAGGATTAGAATCTGTTAGGACTGCTCTTGAAAATAATCGTTATCTGGTATCAGGTTGTTAGTCACCAGTTTTGATTTGTTTTATGCCAGGCTTTTATATTACAAGCAATTAGGCTATTTCCTGCAACCACTGTTTAATATTAGTATGACATTAATTCAAGTGAGAATGGTTGCTTCCTGGTAAGAACAAGAGAACTTGCAGCTAAACTATTCCATTGTGACAAGCGTCATTTGGAAAAGGTTAAGTCGGCAGATCTTGATAACTGACCTGGCGCCCCTTCAATTTCCCTGTAGCCAAGTCATACAGCAAGCCAAGCCCTAAAGTCACTGCCAGCAAGTTGCAAGTTCTTCAGGGCCGCGAGGGTTTCAATGTAACATGCACGGTGGATGCGCCACTCAGTACATCAATGAAAACGACATGGACCTACCCAGCACAGGAGGTACCTTTACCCTGCCATTCTACAGTTTTGTGTTTCCACGGGCCAGTAGGGGTACTTGGGAATGAAGGTTGGCGTGTTTCATCCGTCAGCGTATCATGCTTGCTGTCAGCAATAGAGAGATGATTACGCCTCTAATGAAAACGTCAGTGATTGAGTTACACCAGAGGAAGTGTTCCAATTTTTTTTTGGAAGGCATCGTGGCTGAGCGAGAGATTTACAAAATCAAGTTCAATTAGAAGATCTGCAGAATCAACATCGAAGTTTGTTTTCCATCATGTTTGCAATAACTTAAAACAGGTGTAAAAGTCTTACAGAAACTTTCAGGGAGCCGTGTTAGTTTTAGAGGGCTCTGCAAGTACACTGTAATATGCTTTGTGTGAAGGATGGCTCCCTGACTCCTTTGTGTGTACCAATGTGTACATAAACACATTGCTATTTTTTGTAGCCTGGCACTGCGCACATTTCCATCAAGACAGATTTGTCTTTTGTATCAAAATATTACTGCGGGTTTATATCAAAATGGTCAGAGGTATGACTGGTTTGGGTCCAGCAGCACCAGTTTTGGTGGCTGTGAAGAAACTGAAGCAATGTCAGCCACGTAACATTACGTTACACACTTCTGAGGTCAGCACCTCACTGGCCAAGTGCACATGAAGAACGCAAATGTTCCGCCGCCATCAAAATGTTCCAGTTAGAACGTATGGCAGTGTGTGCCAAAAAATGACAGGGAATCACAGCATGGTTCCCATCGGGGCATACAAGAGAAAATCTAATGGAAATACGGCTTCGTTCTCACTCCTTGCAATCCCCTTCAGAACAACTACCCTGTAAAGTACGATTCTCACGAGGAGGAGACCAAATCCAACAGCCACACCAGGAGGTACCGTCTCTACACCACGGTGCTGCACGTGGAGAATGCGACCCTACGAGATAACGGGGAGTACACCTGCACAGCTGAGAATACTATGGGCCCGGCGTCTGCTTCGATCAACATCAATGTTCTAGGTGCGACTAAAAGAATAATGTTGTGAGAGATTGCATGCAACTAAACTATGTGGTTGATAATTGCTAATTTCAATCTCTTGAAGTCTTTGCTGGTTTTCTAGTTTCTTGTACTTAATTTTGGGTAGCTGGAAGACTGCGTTGTAGTCACGAGACGTGACACAAAACCAGTTGCAAGTGACAGGGTGAATAGGAGCAAAGGAATGCTTTTGTTGCTGTTCATTCGAATGGCTTGTGACATGAATTCGGACTGGGGCTCTCGTATCGGTCTTCTGAAAGGCTTATGGGGACTTGTGATGTTCATAAGAGGTCTCATTTACACAACTGTCAGAAAATTTCAGTCTGACAGTATCAGAGAGGAAATAACCATGGAATTTCTTCTTTCCCTTTTTGTGTGTGTGTGTTTGGGGGGGGGCTTCTTTTCAACAAAAGAACACGGCTACATAAACATGAATCTCATCCAGAGCAAGTTCAGCAGGAACAACAGAATGGACGTGGTGCGGGGAGAGGACAAATTCCGCATCATCTACATGGTGGAGGCCTACCCCAGGGCCCGCTTTGACTGGTACAAGGACGGTCAGATCCTGTGTCCAAAGAACAACCAGACTGACTGCAACCTGCAGGTCCGGGGGGACATTGTGCGGGCGCGATTCCGGCACATTACCGACAAGCACGCCGGCAACTACACACTGGTGGCAACCAACAAGGACGTCACTGTTAGCAAGACTGTGATTGTCTCTGTGATAGGTAGGAATTATGGTTTCAGGTTCTCACTGATGGATTCGGGATCATACTTCCCTCCCTCAAAAAACAAAACATTTTTGTTTGTGAGAAATTAGAAAAAACAATTTTTTTTTTGACCTTTCACTTCCCCTCCTTCCAAAATTATGTAAAAAGCCCCAAAATTCAGCCACACCCCTCAGAAAGACCATAAAAAATTACTTAATTTCACAATTTTTTTGACCCCCCAAAAAGCGATTGGGGCTCTTTATCTCCTTTTTTTGTTGTGGATCGGCCAGTAGCGTTTCATTTAGTTTTCTTATTCATTCTGGCATTTAACAACTCCTTGGTACATTCCTCAAGTCTTATAGCTCACTATTGCAATCTCTTTCACCATTTTTTTCCTTCTTTCCTGCAGTCAGACCAGTGGTGACCATCACCTCGTGGCCCCTGCCCACCAACACCGACCCACCCCTCTACCTGGCTGGGGAGAGCTACACCTTCAACTGCAGCGCCACGGGCAAGCCCTTACCCACCGTCCGCTGGAAGTACGTGGACTGCCCCCAGAACTCCATCAACTGCAACTCGGGCAAGCACCACAACCGCTGGACCCCGGTGGACGGCCCTGGCAGCCAGCCGGAGCCAGGACGCCCAGCTGTGCTGCCTGTCACATCGCCCCAGCCACGGATCTACCGCTGCTGCGCAGAGTCCCCCAAGTTCCTCAACCTCGACACCTGTCGGGATGTTCACTTCAAGATGACTGGTAATAGGCTAAGAACATCAAGGGATTTCAAGTTCTTGATGACAGCTAATAGTTTCTCACTGTTTCTGCTCAATCATCGCTTGAACTGATAGAACTCATTTAAAGTTAAATCAGCAGTGATGTGGACCATTGATCAGCCATAACCATACTTCATTCCTTGTAGAACTTTAGAAGCAATCCTCTGTTGTAAAGTGCCGCTCTGAAACACATCCCACAGCAAGTTCCGCTCTGAAATCAGCGGATGCCTTGGACTGCATCACCTCTTAGAGCCAGATGTTTTGTAACAGAACAACTGTACAAACAGCAGAGCCCGGTACTTGGCAGGATCTCTCTCCTTGGAAAGAACTTCAATGTTTCATCAATACGTGTTCACTCAGTGAAGTCCTGCATTCATACATCAGCTTTCTTTTTCTTCTTATTTCCTATGTAGACTTGCCTGTTGGCCTGAAGGTGACCGTGGACAATCCGTCTCCCTACCAGGGCAGCAACGTCAACCTGACGTGCCGCTGGAGCACCTACGTCTTCAAGTCCATCGAGTGGCACTATCTGGGGCCCGAGAACCACACGCATCGCATCGTGCAGCACCACAACGACCGCCACATCAGCATCAAGCTGGAGGGCTTCTCCAAGCTATCCCTGCTGACGCTGAGCAATGTGGGCCCCGCCGAGTCAGGCAACTACCAGTGCCACGCACTGATGCGGAGGGGTCACGCCAAGAGGGTGGCGGGGGTTTACGTGGAAGTCCAAGGTGAGAGGGGTTTGTTAACCACTTCACGCCGGATAACGTGTTAACATGCAAGGATTTCCTGTGTTGCATCGTGGAAGACACTTATTTCCGGGTAGTGCCACATTCCCACACTTGCAGGGATTCCCATCGGATTTGTGCTTATATAAAAGCTCAAACAAGTCCTTGGAGGTTGAACATGTGTAGCACTCTCAAGCGACGGGGGGCCACTGCCAGGCGTTGTAGCAAATATTGCTCTGTAACATGGTCTCGGAGTTTCAAAAAAGCAGTAATGCAGTAACAAACACCACGGGAATTTTGAACAAATGACCACCTGATAAAGTCAACTTTCTCAAAGGACTGTAGTTGTGGTATTTTATTATTTTAAAAAGTTGGTTTCTCTGGCTAAATATGAAACTGTGCCCAGGACAAGTGTGACGTGAAGTAGTACCAACGGGAAGTGGTTAATGCACTTCATCTCCTTGTGGGCAACATGTATTGACGGAACACAAACAAGCTACTGCTGCTGTGGTAAATTACTGACAGCATCGAAAAGTACTGAAGAAGTAAAGTAACCTCAACAGGATACTTTTGAGTGTGATGTGAAATGTCACTTGCTGCTACTTGAGCGTATTGCACACTTGCTTTGCGTCAGAGTTTTCAAGAAAATTATTTAATCAAGTCTGGTTTGTTTAAGAAAGGTAATGGCGCCATTTAGCAAGAGATGCACCATGCCAAAACAATGGAATGGTTAAAACATGACCAACAGTAAGACTTGTGAGGTCTGTGTATCCGCTTACGGGCAAAACTTGTCCTCTGGAGCAGTTTCAGTGTACATATGCCCATGCTGAGCACAGTGAAAAATGGTTTTTGTCCTGTAATCAAGAGTAACTCACTCATTGGACAAATAACCAAGATTATAACAAAACATGAGCAACAATGAACCGGTTTAGTAATTCAAACTGGCAAGGGCATTTGAAAACACAGGATGCGTGCAAATCGGCGTACAACCATGCTGATGGAGCAGATCTCATGTGTGACTTTCTGCTCTGAATTGATGTCTGAGAGGCTTTTTTTTAGGCATACGTTGTTCGAATGCTGAACTACGTCATTAATATTTGCAAGGTGTGAATTTGTTGGTAACATTTGTGTTTCATCTGTTATTACCTGCCACAGAACGCCAGGCCCCCGAGATCTGGACCGAACCCGCAAGCCTGGAAGTGGATAAAGACAACGGTAAGATTTCCCTGGAGTGCCAAGCCACTGGCGCCCCGCCGCCAACCCTCAGCTGGCTCAAAGATGGCAGGAACCTGACGACTGATGTCCGTCTTGTGGAAGCCGGTCAGAGTCGCATTCTCAGGCTGGACCGAAGTCGAATCATCCTGGATGACAGCGGGTCCTATATCTGCCTTGCTACCAACCCCGCAGGAGAACAGAACGTCACAATCGAAGTCTTAGTTCAGGGTGAGTAGAATAAAACACCGTTCTTACATGGATGTCACTGGATGACTGCCGTCTTCAAAGCAATGTTGCCAGTAAAGTGGTGCGTATTTCTTGATGTTGGCCCATTTTGTCGGGTAAATATTTTCTGGCACACCATGTTGTTTTGACGTATCGATGCTGATGCTGAGGATGACGTCAATAGAAGGATCCAGCAAGGCATCTCATTTAGTTAGATTGGTTTTTCCTCTGGCCCAGTGGTTCACAAGGAGTCTGACGTTGCCATGGTCAAATTAATTGTTGCCCACTCACTTGGAGGTCACAATGCAAATCATGGCTTCCTCCTAACCGGCTGAATCATTAAACTGTAGTTGTCTAGTTGTGAAGGTGAGGTGCATTAACATAACATGCTCACAATCACGGGATGGCCCCCAAGGGTTCTAGTTAAGCAGAGCTTATGTAAGTAAGGAACTGCATCACCCACAGTCAACTGTAACTGTTGCATAAGGGAGAGATGTGAGTGCTGAGTTTGAGGTAGAACTCATTTACAAACAAAGCCCCTCAGTGGCTGTTCAGAGAATGTTTCAGTTCATTTCTTTTTGTGTGTGTCCCTGCGCATGTTAAGATTTCAAGCAATTGAAGATCTGTTTTTCCTTTCCGGTGACAGAAAGGCCCAAATTCGACAAGAATCTTCCAGCCATGGTGAAAGCCAGGCCAGGCAGCAACATGACCCTCTCTTGCCAGGTGAAGGGCATCCCCAAGCCCAGCGTGGTCTGGGCGCGTAACCAGAGCGGCGTCTTGAAGGCCCTGCCCAAGAGGATGTACATTGACCGGGAAGAGGGGCTGGTGATGGTGGGGGTGAAGGAGGCGGACGCCGGCACATATGTCTGCACGGCCGAGAACAAACTGGGAGTGGCCACCAGGACGATCCATCTGGAGCTAGGTGAGGGAGTGACGGGGGAAACTTGCTGTCATGTTGTAGGACAAAAATGAACCAGCTTATGTGTACAAATCGGCCACTTACCCTCAATATTTAACATGTAGCCCCCCTGAAAAAAAAAAAATTTTCAATATTGTTCTGAAGTTGTTTTTCAATTTAGCAAGTTAACTTTACTCAGCAAAATTTCTTTAGTCTTGCTCAGTGAAGTTGGGCTAAGCCGGAGCAGCTCCTGCCCTGATTGGAGGGAATTCATCAGCTTGATGGAGACTTGCTTCAACCATTTTGTTTTCCTTGCGCAGATGAATCTCTGCAGGGGCCATACAGCATAGCGTCCTCTCCCCAACTGATCGGCAGTCTAGCTGCCAGTGCGTGTGTCATCTTCATCATCCTGATTGCACTGATCCTAGTCATCTTCAGAATAAGACGGAAGAAGGTGAGGGTTGCGTTCCCATGTGTTTGTGGTTGGTTGATTGGTTGACGTGACTATTAAACAGGTATATTGGTGAAGGGATGCATTGATTGGTTACTTGGTCTGTTTATTGCTGTGTTCAGCTTTCATTTTGTCTGATTGGTTTCATAGTGTTTGAATGAATAATGGATTTTAGTTTCCTTGCCTTTGTTGATTGGTTGATTGCTTGTTCTGTCATTTGTACATGTCCATGATATGTTGTTAATACCGATGTTGCTTTAAATGGTTAACTTCATCAATTTCATGTATTTGATTTGTCAGCTGATTATTTTTCATGTGAATTTGACCTTCACTTTTGGGGTCATCATTCTTTCATGCTGCCATTTGCTTATTGTAAATTTGGTTGATTTACTTTTCAATTATTTCTGAATTGAAGTGTTAGAATTCTGATTTTTGCTGTCTTATTGTACAGCAGAAGTACATAGCGGGCGGCGACGACATGCTCCTGCCAATATCACTGAATCAGGTGGCTGACTTGGAAGATATCTGTGACCACCTGCCATACGATCCTAAATGGGAGTTCCCACGAGAAAGACTCAAACTTGGTAAGTTGGCAGTCCAAAGATTTTTCGTAAGGCTTCAAAGAGAGGCAGGACAAGGGTCATCAAAACTCTGAGAGGTACCCCAGTTTGCTGCAAAGATGCCATAGAAAATTCAGATTAGACAGAGCAAGGACAAGACTTCTTGGGGAGAAGTTGCAGTTGGAATAGATGAGCAATAGGCAAAGACATTGCTTAGTTGAGTTTGGAATTGTACTTGTTTTAGAGCCTGTTTATGCATAAGTGAATGGTAATGAAATCTGCACAGGAAAACATTGAACAGAGTGGCTTTCCATCGAATTGCTTACACCGAGAGCAGACAAACCATGTGGAAGGGCAATAAACATTGAGACTGTATATTGCCAAATGGGGTTTTGTTAAGTATGACCCAACATCCTGGTTGGCATTTTTGAGTGTTTTCCTAGTCGTGCTTTCGATCTTTCCCTGTGGAACACTGTCATCGGTCAGTAAGACAATGATTTGTAGACTGACCAAGTTTCTGTCTTGTGTGTAAATGTGCAATGTCAGGCAGCGTACCGGAATTCATTGCCACTTTTCGTTACTGCTCGTCTGTGCATAAAAATAGGCCCCAAGGAGACCTACTGCTCTGCTCATCACACAAGATGAAAGTCGATTGTCATGTACATATTGTGAGCAATTTTTAGTCGGAGATTTGGCAATTTGATCCTGTTTTGTTGAATCTCAGGTGCCATCCTTGGGCAAGGAGCCTTTGGTAGAGTTGTCAAAGCAGCTGCCTTTGGCATCGATAAGACGCAGATGTGCACCACGGTCGCTGTCAAGATGCTCAAAGGTAAGGCGACCTTTGTTCTTTGATTTGGATTTAGTCTTCAATGATTTAATTTTTTTCCTTGTAAAATTGAGTGCTGCTTTCATGATTTGAAATAGCTGGCATGAAGTCCTGACTTATTTCTGGTGTAATTTTATCAAGAAAATGCTACGGAAGTAGAGAGGAAGGCCCTGATGACGGAGCTGAAGATGCTGATTCACATTGGGCCTCACTTGAACGTTGTCAACCTGATGGGCGCATGTACGAGAACAGGTAAGCATTGGAATAATAAACAACAGTTTGATTTATTGATGGTAGCTATCTAATTGTGAGGAGGACTTGCATTAGGCCAGCACTGTAGTGGGAAATGAGGGGATGTACGACTTAATGTGAGTTACAAGTGCAAGTGAGATGAGGGGGGTGTTCAGTTTTTGAGGGTTGGAGGTAAAATCCCAGATAAAAATTCCAGGGAAAACTCATGGAATTGGGTAAGGACTGAAACCCGATGCACGTGTTGGCCTGTGCAGGATCCGAGCTGGGAAGTACCACTGTGCCAACTGAACAGCATCACAAATGCTCTTCAAAACCCTTTTAAATCTCAAGTCTTATGGCTTTAACATGAAAAAGTCGTACATTTCAATGATAGACCATTCTCTGAAGTGTGTGGTGAAAGAAAGATGTCATGTGACATTGTTATTCTTTGGGGGGTCTTTTTCGGGGGGTCAGAGCTTCTGATTATTGTGGAGTACTGTATCCACGGCAACCTGTCGGACTACCTGCGCAGCCGGCGGGACTCCTTCGTGGTGGAGTCCAAGGACACCGCCCAGCCTGGCCTGGCCCAGCGGCTGATCCCTGGTAGCATCAGCACGCGGGCCTCGGCCGAGCCGGACAGCCCTGGCCTGCCGCTTGACGCAGAGGACGAGGAGGAGGATGACGATGTCTTCACCTTCAACGAGAAGAAGGAGCCCCTGACCCGGAAGGACCTGCTGTGCTTTGCCTTCCAAGTAGCTAGGGGAATGGAATTCCTGGCCTCCAAGAAGGTCGGTGAATGTCTTGAAGTAGAGCCTCAAAACCTCATAACAGAGATTTAAAAGCTCAGAACCTTAAAGCTCATTGCATAAAAGTCTCAAAACCTCTGGGCAGAGTCAAAACCTCAAAGCTTTTAGCAGAATAAAAACTTGCAAATTTACAGCAGAGAAAAACTTTAAAAACAGCATTGTAGAAAACCTGAAAAACCTTAGAGGCAAGGTTTAAAACCACGAAATCATTGTAAAAAATCCAACATTCATAGCTGAGTTTCAGATCCTCAAAACAGAAAAATCTCAACCTGCGTAACTCTTGCTCTTGGGAACATGCTGTAGTTTGTCCAAATTCTCCTTTTACAGAATGAATAAATTTGTTTTGTATTAAATTTGGAAATTTCAGACTATGGTTCTTATTCTTCTGTGGAACTTGTAACGTGGTAAAGCGTCATAAACTCAACGGTTTACTCATCAATATTGATACTGTTTGATGAGTGCCAGAGAGGGCTGTGCTGTTAGGAGTCAATCTGACAAAAGTCCCAATTTTCTCCCCCTGTTTTCAAACAGTGCATTCACAGAGATATGGCAGCTCGCAATGTCCTCCTCGCCGATGATAACATAGTCAAGATCTGTGATTTCGGTCTTTCGCGGGACGTCTACCACAATCCCGACTATGTGATTCGAGGAGGGGTGAGTAGCATTCAAAATGCACTTGTGGTTTTAGAATGAAGTTGAAGGTTGTTCTGTTTCGTTGCATTGCTTGGCTCGTTTCATTTCACACAGTCAATCGTGTTTCTTTTTCATTCGTTGTCATTGTTTCAGGGCCGCCTTCCAATTAAGTGGATGGCACCGGAGTCCATCTTTGACAAGGTCTACACCTCATACAGCGATGTGTAAGTCCATTTAGTTTTAAGTTGCCCCTTTGACGTTTGCCTAAGCTTGGGTCTTTGAGGACTTGGCTCATAGCTCAGACCGAGATAAGGACTCCACCGTCTTGAGCCTCTTCTCACGACGCTGCAGCCTTGTATCACTTTCATGTGATTTGCTCCGACAGTGCACTAGTTGGTAAACCGTGGAGTGATAGCCGCGGTGTTTTTCAGGTCACTCTTGTAATTCTGGACCAGCCTTCCCATTCATTGTAGTCATCTTCCATCATCTCCTGGAATTGACTTCTTTTAAGCTGCCAGTCTGTGCCTTACGCTTGATCTTAATCTCTCGTACAATGTTGTGTATGTTCTCTGACGATTGTCTTAATGGGCAGACATCAGGTCTTTGGCAGAATTTGTCACCGCTATTTGTGAACTGTGTTTATGTGCTGATTTTCCCTGTATAAAAAGCCGGTGTAGCACTCACTATTGGCTGTTTAATCACCATCTGTTTGTGTAAACCCTGTCACTCTCTTTCCAGGTGGTCATATGGTGTGTTTTTGTGGGAGCTGTTTCAGCTTGGTGGAACCCCATACCCGGGTGTTCCAGTGGATGAGGAGTTCTACAACCGGTTAAAGAATGGCTACCGCATGTGTGCTCCTGATCACGCTCCTCAGGAAATGTAAGGAGGTTGATTTTTTTTTTGTCTGAAGAGCAGTTCTTACGAGGGAAGAGTCATTTTGGGCTGCAGCAAACTAATTTTGCAGTTTGCTTTGACATAAACTTACGTTGGCGTGGACACAAAACTACAGTGTATCAGGAGAGGTCATGCACAATTTGGGACCCATTTCTGTATCATTATCTGAAAAGAAAACTTGCTACCGCACCACCGTTGCTGATCACTGTGGAACATTTCAGGAAGCTTGTTTTCAGTACCTTGCACAAATTTGGAATGAGTCCCTGTTTTGGATTCTCCCCAAGGATGAGAATGAATCAGATTCCCCTTAAGACCCCTTGGAGCAACATCAGGTAACCTTGGTCTGTAATTTGGTCCATTATGGGCTCGTTTCCTGCCCGACTTGGCTGATTTCTCCCATGAGCAATCTCTAACTTCCTGTTAACTCTCCTGAGGTCTTACAAGATATCTACCCCCAGATAGATCGCTATCATTAGTTTCAGCATGTTGTTATTTTGTGGGTGGGGGGACTTCAATGTGGGGGTTGTTAAGTGGTTAGATATGTGCATGAGGAGCCATCCGCTCAATCTGTTTCAATTTGGAACAATCTGTCATGCCCAGGACATGATTGACAGGAGCAAGTATTTTGAAATACTGAACCGGCAAAAGTCCTCACTCGCACGATAATGCCAGTGGTCCTGGCCACATCTTGTGGTCACGTGCAGCCTATGTTTGTCAGCCCGTTCCATTTTGGTGAACATTATACCTGTCAGATTTAATTTGTCAACTTGCATCAGTGAGGCTTTGGAATGGAGGGCATGCAATACCTGGAACATGTGACCAGTTAATGCAGCGTTGGGTTGAGAATGTTCCAGAAAATTCAACCTTGTGGCTTGGAGCTGACTGTAAAAGTAATATTTGAGGGTCTCAGTCTGTCGATCACTCACTGCGTATGCTACGCAAGATAGGTTCCAGAAGCATACTTTTGGGGGGAAGGAAGAACTTGTTTTTTTAAGGGCCAACAATTTAGAAATCATTTCACACATTAACCTGACTTTCTCAGGGGCGAGGCTACATTTTGGGTCTTTTTACATGCCTTTGGAAGAGAGGTAAATGAAATCGGGAAAAAATGTTACCTTGCTGTCATTGTCGATAAATATTACGAGGATTCAAAAAAAATCATCTGTGGCTCATGTTTCGCCCTTAACTCTTTAAAATTATACCCTGAAAATGTGTTGTGATGGGGAAAGATTAGATGGGATTAAGCAATGCATGAAGGCATATGGTGGCCCCTGACGGGGCTTGGTGGCCCGATGAGTAGAGCACTGGTACAGTACTGTGGAGGTCGCATGTATGAACCCTGCTCCAGCCAGTTTCTCTGCTTAATGCAGTGTTGTTTATTTTAGGGGGGGGGACTTTGGTTGGTGAAATTGTCCCTCTCTCGTAGCACGTCTTACAAAAAGTGACAATAATCTTAATGGGGGAGTGATATTCATAATTCGAATTATTCTGATCCCATCTGCAGTTACCACATTATGCTGGAGTGTTGGAACACGGAGGCCAAGGACAGGCCAGACTTCAGTGATCTGGTGATCAAGCTGGGTGACCAACTGGAGGCTAACGTCGTTCAAGTAAGTAGGCCCAACTGCTGACGGGCTCCCGCGCCCGGAGAAATGAGGGTGCTGTGGATAAGAGAAGGGGGATGTCAGAGGATTGTATTCCCTCCGTCTTGGGTTCAGAGCTGTGTTCACCAGCTGAGAGCCTGTCATTGGGATTGGGAACTATATTTTGGGGGAGAATGCCTCAATCATGCTCTTCTGATTGGAAAGTTTAGGATCCTTACAGCAGCTTCTCTGAAATTTGCATTCATTTATAAAAATCCCTGGCCATACTTGGAAGGATTTGATCAGATAACAACATTTCACTTCATTACCTGGGATGTCTCTCTTGAATTCTTGTGCACTGCAGGAGTACTTGGACTTGAACATTCCCTATGAAATTGAGAATGCCAGCCGTCCCTCCACCCAATACATTGAGAAAGGCCTGGAGCCAGTGGTTTTACTGCCTCCCGAGATGGCCTCGGAGAAAGCTGACAATGAGGCGGGGAGTCCACAGTCAGTGAGCAAGCAGGAGGATGATGTAGAGGAGGCGGGAAGAGCTGAAGGAGGAGATGGAGGAGAAGAGATCCTGGAGGAAATTCAAGACCCGAGACCAGTATGCCCTAGCCTGGACGGGAGGAACAGACTTGTTGGACAGTCGCAGTGCATGCAGAAGGAGGACCAGTGTGTCGTGCCGATGGTGAATGGGGACGAAGACGAGCAGAGAGCGGGTGCGGGCAGTAAGGAGGTGGCTGTCAGGAGGGAACAGACTCAATGTGATGCCGCCGTGGGCGGCGACACCCCACTGAACGATAGCCGCGCCAGCGAGGAAACTCAGCTGACGGAGGAAGGCCGAGACTCACTCAGCTCGCTGGAGAAGGCGGAGCTGGAAGGGCTGGAGTCCGGCAGGGATGCCTCGTTTCATCACCATCACCCTCACCACCAACATCACCACCACCACCACGCCCGCAGCCGTGGCAACAGTAAAAGCGAGGAGTCGGTGTCCTCGGACTCGTCCAGCGGCTTCCGCTCCGGGGGTTACATCTCGGATGCCAACGAGGATGAGCCCCCGCCAGAGTACAACAAAGTGATGCAAGTGGTCACCGTGCACTTCTGAGTATTCAGTGGAGAAAAAACACAAAAAGTCAATCGATATTCACTCTTGACTCAGCAAAGCTGTTTTCAGTGATGCACAGTGAGTGCGTCCATAACAGTATATGTATGTGGTTTGGGGCCTCAGGATTAATTCATTTGCTCTTGTGATGTATGCCTGAAGGAGACATCGATGGGAGGATTTGTATGCCAGCATGCATTGTAACATTTTGGTTGGACATTTCCCCTACCCCATTTTGTGAGCATCTGGAAAGTCAAGGAGAATTGGAACCTGAACGCTTATAAATGTGGGACTTAAGTTATTGCTTTTTGGCTGAAGACATAGAAATTATGCAAGATGCCATTTTCCCCTCGCAGTTACCAGTATAGATACAAATGGTCATATCAAAGAATTATCATCGGATATATCTCAAGGCTTACCGCACTGGTGTAAGTCAGTGATTTCTAGCGATGAAAGTTCACATCAACAGTTCAAATATTTTGATTCAGATATTGTCTACTATTTTAGTCAAATTATGCTCACAAGAGCCAGAAGTATATTTTTGGAGAACAGGAATGCTACCTCAGTAATAGCCTGAACACTGCCATGTTGCAATTGCACCATTTTGATTGGAAAATTTTTACTGAGCTGTCATTTTTTGGTCATCTTTTTCTAAAAAATTTTTAGAAATAATACTTCTTTCCAATTTCCTTTTTGCCTGTTTCACCGATGCTATCTGAATCCGATCAACAAAGTAGTTTGCCCAAAATATTGCCATAGGAAGAAATTACATTTACTATTATACTTACACATATATCATACTCGGCAAACAAATATGACATTTGCTGTATTTTTGTGCAGATTTGCATTGAATGTCCTGGCTTAACTTCGCCCATAAATTCCAGCTGCACGAACTGTTTTCAACTCTTTGCCATTAAGAAGAGTTGCATTTTTATGCTAGATGTAGCTAGATGTTATTCACAGCTAATCCAAGATACCCACAGGATATACAAAACGTTTTCCAGTTGTCGTCAAATGATGCCAGGATATGCCCAAAACATGCAGAGTAAACAAATTGTGACTTGGTACATTTTGACCTTGTGTCTCCTCGGCCATTGTAATTTTCTACAGGTGACATTGATACAGTATCTGGCTAGAAAATGTCTGTATACTCTTTGCCATGAGAAGAGGGTTTTTGTGGACGAGTTTTGCCGATTTTGCCGATTTTGACTTCGGAGACAGGGTTCTGTTCACAAGTACCGCCTCATAACTGCAAGAGAGAGAGACGCCAAGCCAACCCTTGAATACGAATGCCAATGTAATGCTAGGCGCTCACAGCAGGAATCTACAGCTTAGCACAGATCCACATTGTGTGTTCTCCATGCTGTACTGGTGTTAACATGCACAAGAAGGCTTCGGCCCCACACGATGTAAACAAGTTTATCAAATTGCCTTGGCTCCTTCGCCTGTAAGCTCCATTATATCCTGTCCCAATTTATTCAGTGCTGTCCTGATGTAACCCTCCTTAGTTATTTCTTTCCATTCCAAAAGAGTTTATGGGGAACGTGCAATCAAATCTGCTCTAAAGGCTGATTTTTTTTCTTTCACAATCTTTAATCCATAAATTTTAGTCTTTTTAACCAATTTTTACAGCTTTTTAAAAGCTCAGCCAGCAACGTAAGCTGCCATAATTACATTGTACCTTAGTTAAACACCTTCAGTGTTTGTATGTATGAGTTACCATGTACTTTAGAGTAACCATGTGGGACCATACATTAGACCGAAGTAATTGCAAAGTTGAGAGAGTGGATCACTCAAGAAACACAGATACTGTCATGTTATGAAAACCTCCAATTTTTAGCATTTAAATTTGAAAACAAAAATATATCATGGGCTGTATAAATTTGGCTTTTGCTTTGCACAAAGAGACAAAAAGTCCTTATTCAGTTGTTTATATGAGCAATAACTTCGACTTAATCCATATTTCAGCAATTCTTGCCAAACGTTCTGTGTAAGTTAATTGAGGATTGGCTATTTTTTTTTGTAATTTCATTATCTATGTGTTTATCGGTTAAATTTTTTCAAAGAGAGATGGGTATAGATGTACTTAGTTTTTGTATAAAAATCAGGCCGCAAAGAGATCCTTCTCCACATATCTGCAAATCCAGAGATAGAAATTGGTGGGAATTGTTTGCCGTTTCTGTCAAGGCATTCTGTCAGACACTTCATTTTGCTGCAAAATGTGTGGGTGTGTGTGTGGGGAGAGGTAGACAGTGTCGTTTAATGTAAATAGCAATGACAACGGGGAAGTAGATTAGAAACACATTCAACCACGGAGGGGATCCATTCCCGGAGCGATTCTTGATTTGTTTTCATATATTTCACCATTAACATTTTTTCCTTTTCCTCTCCCTCCATACACGTGTGTGAACATTTTCAGCTGAGCCGCTATGGGGAGGCTAAACCGTTTATAATCGCTTCGACATGTGAGCAGCTTTCATTGTAAATAATTACGTTGAGTGCGAGGTAGATAACAAGTTCCTCGACCAATGTGCCTTCGAATTTCTTAGTAGTTTGACGTGCTTGTACAAAATAGCAGTAGACGGATGGACACGCCTGTAAGTTTGCTTCTTACAAATTTACGCTTGCTTTAATTAATGTTGTAAATGTTCGTGTCACCACCGTAGTGGTTAATATAGCCTGCATGCAGAAAGTAGCGTTGACAGCAAGAACTTAGCTTTTTTATCACAAGAAAAGAAGTCGTTTGATACCGTGCAAGGAAAGTCTACAGAGTTAGATTTAAGTTCGTTTTGTTTTCTGCGGGCGGTAAGGCAAAACTATGCATGTTCGCAAGTGTCTTTTATTTGTTTATTTGTTGATTAAGAGTACATTAAGCAGAAACATGCTGAACGTCTTCAGTATAGTTCCTTGCGATAGCTCTGCCGTTCGGATTTTATGTGTTATGTCAAGCATTTGCGTTGCAAATCTTGTCTTTCCGATATTTGCAAATCTCTCCGTTTTAAGACCGACTCGTACTTGGCGCGAAAGCGAAAAACAGCGCGAAATTGCGACATTTTTCCCAGCATAAACTTTGGAAAAACAAGATCGCAAAACGCTCCACTCTATTTCGCGAGTTGTAGTGTTTAGTTGAGCGATACTGAAGATGTTGAGCTCCGCAAAGCTGTAAAATTCAACTAGGCCTATGTACCGGTGTACTTTCTTTTTGTTTCTTTTTGTTCAAGCGGCTGGTTCGTTTTGGTTAAAGCATTTTGAATTTTATACTTTCCTACAGTTTTCATGCCTCTTGTAATAGGTCAGAAAACCATAGTCAGAAATTTACTTTTATTATGATTTCTTTATGGCAAATGTTCTATTGTTTTGGAAAGAAAGCTTCTTTGTACATTGAATTTCTAATAAATATACGACCTAAAGCTGACAACCAAGTTCGAGGAAGTTTTTTTACGGATATTCGTCGTGTACGAAATCTTTCTTTTCCATTACAAACATTGGGCGCGACTCGGCCATTAATTTGCATAAATTCAACTTCGGTTGGGGATTTTGTCGCACTTGGAACAATATTTTACGCATCGTTAGTATTCTCAAACATATTGTCTTTTTGTTCTTGGTCGATATTGCGTGCTTGATACACCGCATGCTATTCTGTCACTCTGAAATACCATTAATTAGGCCAATTCTTTTGTTGCAGTGATGGGTTAAAACCACGGAGCATTCAGATTTAAACAAAAAGACTTTTCTGTGTAAAGTTTGGTCCGGTTTTGACCTATTTGGGCAACGTTTTAAATTGCACACTATTTCGGTGCGGAAACATTTTAGCGTTACGCTTCTGTTCGTAGGCCTTACCGGGCGATTTTTGAATTGAAACTAGAAATGTGAGACGTAAGCACACGGGCACAATCTGTATCGTGGCTATAGGTTACATGACATAATGGGCTTCGAGAAAGAGAGGGGGCTATTTTCTTATCATCGGCGGCTCCTTTGGTCGGAACTGATATGAACTTCGCTGATGAACAAACGACCAGGAAATGCACTCCCGACCAACGCGGCTCTTTTCAACCGATGAGGGGGTGCTTCTGCTCTAGGCGGATAGCTCCTGTCGCGAATGCATGTGAGAATCCGCCTCTACCAGAAACACTCCGCCCCATCGGTTGAAAAGAGCTGCGTCGGCCGGGAATATTTATGTTGTTGGTAGCGATGCGACCACAACGTTTGTGTTTACTTGTCGTTAGTGAACCAGCGAAATTCAGTTATGACCAAAGGAGCCTCCGTTGCTAGGGAACTTAAGCCTCCTATCATGGTCCGGCTCGAGGCCCCATAATAAACAGATGTATGGAAATACCATGAGCAGTAGGAACCGTGTCGTTTCAGAGTTGAGTGCTTTTTGGGTGTTGGTTTCGTTGTAAGAAAGAAAATAAGCAGAATGAACAGCTATGTCGCAATAGCACGTTATGTAACCTTTATACCGGATTAATTTTAAGTGGCTTCACTATCGCACAACTTTGTCAACCACGTGTTCATTTCTCATAGATAGAATGATAACCACAATATAAATATTTCTAACGATATTTTTTTTGCCAAAAAACAAAACATGTTGATGAAAGGATTGTGAGCACCAGTGTCACTCCGTACGACCCGCCGACGACTTTCCCTTTAAAAATATTGAGATTAAGTTTGCCAGCAGCTCACTCTTCATCTTGATCTTCCACTTGCACGGCCTGATGAGGCTGTACTACCTGCTACTTTTCGTGGGTCTCTGCGCAGCCTACGAACCATGGCTGTGCCCGACCGAATTGCTGGAGTCCGAGCGGACGGATTGTCACCCTGAGCCCGGGGCGAGCGAGATGGCTTGCACAGCAAGGTGACATCACACCGAGTGATCGTTCTGGGCACTTGAACTTTTGTGTATTTATTTATAAATCAACATCCAAACCCATGCTTTGTATCTTGTTACAGTTGTAAGAAGTCATACCAATGGGAAAAAATGTATGAGCCAGTCTAAAGAAAATGCATTCCAAAAACCTTCATAAGATCAAAGTTATTACAAATCAGCACCAACATTCTTGAGGCGGCATGTACGGCAGCTGGACATTTAACTTTAAAGGTCATGATCTCTTTCCCATAGAAATGTCTAAACCTGAATTAAAAATCTTAATTAAACCCTGCAACCGGGAATCCACAGCGATATAATTTGATGTTGTTTTTCCCGTGATTTTATTTCTGATTTGGTTCATAGAGGCTGCACGTGGTGTCGGGCGTATGACCCCAGCGCCCCTTGGTGTTTCTTTAACACCAAACCAGGTTATGAGGGTACCTGCCCCTCTACCGTCCCAACCTCTCAGAGAGTGGACTGCGGTCAACCCACCAACGCCCAGTGCGTCAAAACTGGCTGCGTCTGGTGCCCTGAGACCGGCGGGCCGTGGTGCTTCTTCGACGAAGATGCTGGGAACAGTCCAACTTCTTTTTCCCCGGGGACAGATGGCCCTGTTGTGACAGGAGGTCCCACAACATCACCGAGCACCACCAAACACTATTACCCGGGCTGCGCGTCAAGCATCCCTCCCGACCAGCGTATCGACTGCTACCCGGAGCCCGGATCCTCCGAGGCAGGATGCCTGGCCCGTGGATGTTACTGGTGCGAGGAAGCGACTCCGGGAGTGCCTTGGTGCAGTCACCCAACTCTCGACCCGGTGGATCCCATCGATGGGATGTGTCCGTCTGACATACCGGATGCGAACAGGCGGGACTGCTATCCCGGTGAGCATTTTTATAAAAATGCTGAATACCCAGTAATTCACACTGAACTTGCTAAGAACTCCAAATGCAAGATTCAAGATAGCAAATATAGCACTCCTCACCGGGCAAACAAATTCAGGAAGTCTCTGTAATAAAAATACGCGTTTACAGATGTAAAATGTGGGGAAAATTGTTTACACAAAAAAGGAACACTCAGATTTGAACTGGGTTGAAGTGTTCTATCATTGAGTTATGTCCCCAGCACGATAAAGTAACAAAAAAAATAAACAAAAATAAACCAAAATAAAAATAAATAAATAACAACCGATTTCAAATCTACATCCTTCTCAAACATAGCTGACGACTTTCGGCAAACGTAGGTAATTTTCAAAAGCTTACGGAATTGTTTAGCTGGACGTCAATGATGTTTTGCAGTCAGTAATTTATCCAGCACATTATCATCAAAGGGAATTTTGCGCAGTGGTACAGTATTCGCCTGCACTTCTTATAAGTAAAATTGTAAAAGACGTTTGCTCAAATCGTTAGCACTACTTCAATGTACATCATAAACGCCCCCTTTGTTGAGGATAAAACAAGGGGACACCCGGGCTTGAACCGGGGACTTCTCGATCTGCAGTTGAATGCTCTACCGCTGAGCTATATCCCCGTCACGAGAACGAGTAATTGTATCAATTTTGAAAAATCACCAGTTTCAAAATTTATGCTCTCTTGGTGCGTTCATTTGACAAAAAAAAAAAAAAAAAAAAAACCTCTCATTGAGGTCCTACACCTTCCCCTCTCCGTTAAGGATAAAACAAGGGGACACCCGGATTTGAACCGGGGACCTCTCGATCTGCAGTCGAATGCTCTACCACTGAGCTATGTCCCCGTTATGTGAATTGGAGTTTTTGGTTTTAATTATTGTGTCAACCTTAAAAAATCGTCACTTTCAAATAATAATTTATTCTGTCTTGGTGCGTTCAGGTAACACCCCTCCCCTCCAGAAAAAAAACCAAAAAAACAAACAAACAGAGAGAAGGTTTGCACAAATCCAAAAACACTTTCACTGAAATCCTCCCCCTCCGTTGAGGACACAAAAAGGGACACCCGGATTTGAACTGGGGACCTCTCGATCTGCAGTCGAATGCTCTGCCATTGAGCTATGTCCCCACCATGCGAAAGCAGCAATTAAAAAAAATTGTACATAAGCCTACCAAACTTATCGATTTCAAATCCACATCAGTGGTCTGTTTCTTAAACACAACGCCGACGTTTATAGTCAAACTTTTATAGGTAACGTTGAACAACACGGGGAAATTGACAGCTGTGTATCAACAAAGTTTTCTAATCGGTAAATCAGCCAGCTGACGTTCACTATTTAAGTTTCTAGTATTTTTTTTGTTACAATTTTATAAATTCTTCTCATTTAATAGGCTACTTTTTAAATACTATTTAGACGTGGGTGCATCTAAGGACTCTTGCGAGGCCCGCTCCTGCATCTGGTGCGAGTCGTCTGTGAGCGGCACACCTTGGTGTTTCTTCAACATCACTGGCGTTTCTCCGGACCCGGCCCAGGATGTTTACCGCGTGGACTGCGCTCCAGACGGCCGGTGTGACCAGTGTGAGGCACGGGGGTGTGAACTGGCTGGAACAGATGTTCAGGGTGCGCCGCTGTGCTTTTTCCCGGTCGATTTGGGATACACGATGAGTGGTAAGAAACTTACATCCATCATCAAATTAGAAAATACAAATGAGAAGGAATGTGCTATTTTTTCAAATAATTAGCCTACTTCAGACTCCGTAAATCAATCACGCATTCGTAGAAGTAGAGAAGGGACAGTTCTGGAGCACACGCCCCTTTTTTTGCTCAAAACCCTTGGGTAGTACATCGACCCAAAAAATCGTCGAAACATTTTTGGTGGGAAAAAATGGGAAAATCCTGGAATGACGTGAACCCGGCTTTTGCTCAAAACCCTTGGGTACCTATACGACCCAAAAATCTCGGGGAAAATCTCCCCACCTTTTGCCGGTGTGATGAGTGGCCTTTGACCTACTTGCTGGGAATTATCACTCGCGAGAAAAAATTGATAAAAAAAATAAAAATACATAAAAATAAATGGTAGATAAAACTACAAACGTGAATTGTTATTTTTGCAAAGACACGAGAAATTCGATCGACTTGATAGATTCGTACGATTGCTCTCGTTGTTTTAATTCCAAAAGTTTACTCAAATGCATCGGTTGTAAAGAATGTCGCAATTGTTACGAATGTCAAGACTGCGTCAGATGTAAGGACTGCTTCACCAACGACGATTGTTGTAGATGTATAAATTGCGAGGCCTGTTTTAATTCATACGACTGCAGAAAATCGAATGCCTTGGACAGTTGCGAGGACTGTTACGACTGTGCCAATTGTATCGAGTGTTTTGGTTGTACGTACTGCACCTGCTGCGTAAATTGTGACGAGTTGGAAGGAATGGATCACGTGGTGCTCGTAGACGGCAAGCATAAAAAGCTGAGGCACGTGCGAGAGAACGAGTCACCGCCCGATTCAGCTACTAAACTCGATGTGGACTTATACAAAATTGGATTAATTATTGAATACAACGCTGACGTCGAACATTTAATTAAAGTAGAAATCCCACCCGAAT